AACACTGATAAGTATTAACTTATTGGTTCATTCTTTTTTGTAGGTGTTGAGTAAATTCAATACTAGTACCTTTTTAAAAAATATCGTTAGTAAATATTTCTTACATGGTAAAATAATTTAGATCATTTAAACTTTTATATAACTCTTATTTTGACAATTAATTTATAATTTGTATGAAAATAACAAAAAAAAAAGAGTATAAAACAAAACAAAAAATATATATTCCTTTATAAAATTTGATGTTTAAGATTTATAATTCAATAGACAATAATAATTAAATTAAATTTTATTTATTTAATTTCCTTTTTTTATATTAATTAAATAATTATTATGGATTTTTGTAAACATTTTTTATTTTATTAAAATTTTAATTACAACTAATCGAATTTTTATATCTCTAGACAAAGGTAATGACTAAAATTATTATCTAAAAGAAAATCTTTTATATTATCGAAAGTAACACCCAATCGCCCTAAAAGAAGAATTATAATTTTAATTTAATTGCAAGGAGTTGTTAAAATATTTATATGTAAGTATAATATTAGTTTATATTTATTAACAGTAATAGTGTTAACATATTTAAAAGAATTTTTTTTTCAATTTTAATATTGAATTTTTGTTAATATACCGAAGTATTGATCTGAATTGTACTTAGTTAATATTTTTATACTTAGGAATAAAAAAGAGTTTAATATTTTTAAAGTTTCTTAATATTGAAATAATATAGGACAATTGTAAGAATTGAAAAAATTTAATTTATGACTATACGCCATTTATTTTTACCAGACGCGTCCCATATTTTTGGTACCATGCTTAAAGGCAAGTTCCATGGACTATTTGACTTTTCAAAGCTACTTTGCTTTAAAATAATTTTTAATTGTTTATTAACTTCCTTTTTATGACACATAGGGTATCTGTATTGTTTTATATTAATTGGATGACCATTAGGAGTAATTATTTTATGTACAATTTAATTAGTATAAGATAATTTATCACCGGGTAAAATTAATTGCATAAATTTTGAATAGGTGACTTTTCTTTGCCGTTTAAATGATTTAATTTAAGGTTTTGATTTAAAAGAGTGATTCTATTATTATTTCTAGTATTAACATTATTACAATTGATACTATTTACATTATTATTTATGAGTACGAAATCTTGTGGTAAAAAATCAAACTTAATATTATTTATAGAAATCGAAATATCTTTTTCTAATGTGTAAATCGGTACGATCGAATAATTATCTTTGATTTGTGTTACACAACTTCCAATAAAAACATTTTCATTAATTACTATTGGATCATATATAATTCCAATTGTATAATTAGTATGGGTAGTTTTTATTTTAATGATAGATTCTGAAAAACCTAATTTCGTAAATTCATGTGACCCTACAAACTCAACACGATTAAAAATAAAATTTAGCACTTTTTGTGAGATCGTAAAACAATTGTACTATAGACCACGTAAAAGAGTACGATTTAATATTACGATATCTCGGCTCCAGGATTATATTTGGAATTTCATTAAAAACAGGATGTAGCAGCGAAGTTTACATCTTATTGAAACACAAATTATCATGTCTTTATATATGAAAATCTTATAAAATGTGTAATTATTAATACATAGTTCATTTAGACTAGATTACTGGCAAGTTAAGAAATTAAACCCCAAAAATATAAAAATCTTGACAGTGGACAAATCGGTAGCGAGAAAGTTGTTATATAATAAGTTAAAATTGTCAACACTAAGAGAAAATTAAAAAAAACAAATTATAGTCAAATTTAAATCAATATTAATAAAATAAAAAACACATGTTTTATCGAATTCGTATTTAAAACGAAAAGTCTCATTTAAATCAAATAATCAATCGCCTTTTGGTAATAACTGGTTCTTAACTTAATTTGCGCTAACGGTGTTAGACGTACATCAACAATCGCGCCAATTATTCGAATATCAACAAACTGGACAGTTATTATTAAATATTTATTATTTCTCGAGAGGATATATAGCGCTATCTCTACGGGTATAAATTAACAAAAAATCGGTTGCCAATTGTTTGATTGCCGTGTCCTATCTATGTATATTTAATCTATGATAACTGATAGCACTTCCTTGGTAAATAAATATTTATTTATTATCAGGTATAACTTAATTTTTTTTTTGTGATCATTCATGACATTTTTTAAACTTATTTTGTAATTAATAGTCTAAATATTGAACTATTAAATAACAGTTATACTATTTGAAATATAGTAATAATATGTTAAGAAAATATTCCCTTAATATCTTTAGTGTTAAATTGATATTTTCTATTAATTATATTTTTATATAAAATATATATTTGTGTTTAATTTTAATGTATCAAGAAATGGCTTCACCTAACATGTATGATGAACTCAATGTCGGTGATTGTGAGATATATGTACAGCGACACAACATTCAGCAAATATTAAAAGACTGTGTATTTCAATTATGTATTTCAAAGCCTGATCGGCCTTTGACTTTCTTCAGGCAATATTTTCAAAAATTAGAAATGGTAAGTACAGAAATTAAATAATCAATTTAATTATAAAATTTTAAGGGAAAAAATATGTGTTTACAGTGAATTTAATAGCTTAAATAATTATTTTAATGATAATTGAAAGAGTTTGTAGTTAAGGTGATGATCAACATTTTAAGTTTACTTTTTTTTACATCTCTTATTTCATACATAAAAATTACATTGAGCATATTACTGTAATAAAATATTAATAAAAGTGATAAATATAAAATTGAATAATTTTTGTATATAAACGTAAAAAAATATTGGACATGTTAATTATTATTCAATATCTCTTTAATTCAATTAGTGATACATTACTTTTATACTAGTTTTGGTACATTAATTTGTTTGAAGATACAAAAATTACTGCCATTATATTCATAGTTGGCCAGTAGAATTATAAAATAATATCAATTAACAATTTCTACAACTTTTAATATAAATTAACAATTTACTGAGATTTTTTCAAGATAATTTATGTGTTCTTAGACCGCATGAGGATCATATTTTAATAATAAAAAATATTGAAATTTTTTTTTTAATTTAAATTTTTTAAAGTTTAAAATAATCAGTGTTTAGTGCATATTGCCCAAAAATTATTAATTAGTCAATAAAAATTATAGAATAAAAACTTATTGAGTAAAAAGTATTTAAATACAATGAATTGATATGTAGTGCTGATGGAGTATTTTGTTTTTTGCTTTCCTAAGCCCATAAAAAAGGGAGGTTTTCTTAACCAATGATACTCTGGGACTCCAATTATTGAAATGATCTCTCGTTTGACAAATGAAGCCTACTGTGATTGAATTTTTAACCCGAAGCAGTGCGTGTCATCACTGTTATGTTACCAGCATAGTCACATGTCCTTCTAAATCATCTGTGCAGATGGAGTGTGCCTTGTAAATCTAATTTCATTTGAAAAGTGCTAAATAATAATAAATAAATATTTTAAACTCAGCACAATAGGGACATAGTTGATACAAGTATAGATAACTTAAAATCACTATTATAAAAGACTTTTCAGTATATTTCTATAGATAGTATTTAATTTTTAAAAGAAATTATTTGATTATTCCAAAAGCAATTTTAATAAGATGGTTTGAGATATTTTTTAAAAGAATCGGAATCATTATTTATGGTTTTAATGTAATTTTTATAAATGTTTACTTAGGGTTTATCACAAACATTTGTATATATGTTATGTATGTTATTGTGCATATTATATCTACTTTATAGTAGAGATCTGGTTGTTAATACTTCACTATTGTATGCAACCAAGTTCAATCAAATTAAAAAAACAAAGTACATTTTTATAATTTTATATTTATTACTATTTAATTTGTGTAACTTACATTTGAGTTTGAAACAAAAAAAAAGTATTTTATGAAGTCAGGTAACTTTTTGAAGTTCATGAATAGTATATACATAATAAATATGAAGAAAAGAAATTTTAAATGAAAAATTAACTAACTGTATTAATGAATAGTATAATTCAATTTTTTTTTTTGAAAAATAAAATTACAATATAAATTAAAGTCATACAAATAAAATATTATCCAAAAATATTTTGTTTTTATAGTAAATTCACTATCAAATATGTATTTCTTATTAACTATTTCATTTGTTAAAATTGTATTAAACAATATTAAAATAATTCTTTCTTTTTTACATCAATAATAAAATATAATTGTTGATGAGGATTGGGGTTATTTTTGGTATAGTTTCTTTTCAAAATTATCTTTGGTCCATTATTAATTTTAATATTTTTTTTTTTATTACACTATGATATAAATAAATTAAAATTTATATAAAAAATTCAATTTCCGTGCTGTAATCAGAAGATTAAACTGAGGTTATAATGAAAATATTAAGATACTATATTTATGATGTTAGAGAACATTATAAAATAAATGAGGTATATTGTATGTGGACAAAACGTTTTAAAATAAATTAAGCTTATTCTTGAAAAACATGTTTAAAAAAAATAATTTGAACAATGTTATATTTTTAAAAATAAAATGAATTGATTTTCAATGGTATAGACAAGCAATAATTCATGTTGATTTAGAGTTTTATTTCACTCAATACATTGTAGTAAAAAATCTAGTTAAAACTTACATTATTAATAAATATATCTTGCTCTAATTCTTTGTACTATTTAAAAGGGGTTTTTAGCTAAGAATTAATTGGTTTAAAAAAATAAAACACATAAGTTAATAGTAAAAAAGGTTACTTATTAACAAAACTAATGCTATTTTTAAATAAAATGACTTATTTGTAGTATACCATTCACATTAGTTCTAGAGAATTAAAAAAATATATGTTTACATAAATATGTATGTATGTATAAATATATACATATATATATATATACACACACACACTAATATTGATAACAATTAAAAATAGAATTTTTGAGTGTAACAAAATACATTTTATCTTATATTCCTAAATATATTACAAAAATATAGGTTAAATTTCAACATTTAAATTAACTGAAATACAACTTAATATTAATTACAATGTATTATTCCCTGAAATAATGTTTAAAATGGAAAACAATTTTTTAATTTAAAATTGTGATTACATACTTTCTCATTAAGAGTTTTACTACTAACCTAATTATTATTATTTAAAATATTTCCTTAGTCTGATGGTTTTTGGTTAATATATTCTGGTTTCCACAATTGGTTACAAAAAAAATTATTGACCAAATTAATGTCATTACTTATAGCTGTCATTAATTGATCAGATACTTTTTTACTGTCTTCTTTATTAAACAGAGCCATTAATGGTAAACAACCCTGAGCTAAATCCTTTGCCAATGATACTTCAATTTGGTTTTCTTCTTTTTCCATCATTCTTTTCATGTGTTTCTGTCGAGCTTTTATTATCAATAGTTCTCTAACTGTTTTCAAACGTTTGTCTGACAAACCAAATAAATTAAGAAATGCTTTTTGACAAACATCTACACAATTGTAACGCCCAAGTGATTTTCTTGAAGATTCTATTGAATCATTTTCCAATAACTTGTCACTGTCTTCTTTAGATTCCATTGATGTAACTGATGACGTTTCATCAAAATCAGAGTCATCGTCTTTGTCAGAATCACAATTTATACCTATAATGAGAATTATTTTATAGTTAAAAATCATTCTAAAATATTTTATTGCTATAATAATAATATAACTTTAAACACAATATAATATCAATAATGATGAAAAAATTTAATAGATGGATTTTAGTGTTAGTTTTTATGTAAATACTCACTTTTTTGTAAATTATTATTTAAAATTTAGAAAGAAAATAATTTACCATTTGACACCTCCCTCAATAATAATTAGATTCATATTATCAAAATGAATAAAGATAAGTCAATAATTAAAAATTAATAAAATTTATTCTTATTTATATGGTATAACTCACTAAATTTCATAGAATTAAGTGAGCACATATATATCACATGAAAATTAGGATTTCTGAAGCACTAGGAAATTTTTTTTACCAAAAACTAAGATTATTATTTTTTAATTTAACATATATTTCAACTTTTCAAAAACTTCATTAGTTGGAATTGTTTATATTACTTTACAATTTATGGATACTTACTTGTTAAAAAATCGTCTGTTATTATTGAAGGAATTCTATATTTACAGTGAATCCTTCGAAGTAATTTACCATTGGCTGTAGTTTCCTTACTGAAAAGTCTGTTTGCAACAGGGCGTGCTTCAATAAACTTTTGGAGAAATTTATTTTGAATATCTTCATTTTCCATCTCTACAAACATCTTAAATAGTTCATCTTTAGATTTTTGTGGTACTCGCTCTGAACACTTCTGTGGACACTGGCAAAGATTATCTGAAAAGTTTATAATTTAGCCATGAAAAATTAAGATTTTTAAGTATTAAATAATAATTTATACTAAATTATTCAATATAATTAGAACATTGTTAATTTAACTTTTACCTGGTTGTGTTTTGCTGTCTTTAAATTTTTTTGTTAAATTATTTGATTCCAAATTTAAATCTGGGGATAGTTTTCTCTTATCACCGGGGTTGTCAGAATCGTCAACAGAGTTTTTCGCTTCAATTTCAGCCATCTTTTTTGAATTTACTTAGATTACATTCGCTTTATTATTTATCTTCTAATAAACTAATAATAAAACATTTAATAGAATTCGACTTACGTAAATAGTTAACTGTAGAAACCTTATGAAATTAGAACCAACGATAAGTGCGCTCTATAAGCGCGTGTAAGATCAGAAGTAAAAAAAAAAAAACAAAAAACTGAACAACTGTTGTCCATTCGCCAAATCAGTGTTTTTGTTTTCGATGGGGAGAGGTAGGAAAACACATGCCTCACTGAGATACATTGCTGCCAACCACACAGTTATCGTCTTCTTTTTACTGTTTTCTCAACTATCATCATAATATCCCGCTAATTCATCTCACAAGTACTTTTCAAAAGATGAACTAGCTGTAATGTGCATCAAAACAAGTTGTTTTAACAGTATAAGTAATGAAAAGGAAAAGTTTATAACACCATGAAGTTCACTAAATTATTGTTTATTGTTATTATTATGATATTTGTTTGTTTTTGTTATTTCATTATCTAATGTTCCGTTCAATGACATAGACATGATTCTTTGACTTAAAATATTTATTACAAATATAATACATAACATTTGCCTCACATAATTATTATATAATAATTAATAAATTTTCTTATTTCAAATTCAAAATAATCATTACTAAAAAAATCATTCTAATATTAAAAATTAACAAAGTTTTTTTAAATTTGCGATAAAAATTATCATTGGGGGAAACTTAAAAAAGTAAAATTAAAATGTTTATGACAATAATATTTTTATTTTTTAGAATTATTAAGATTGTATTCTAGGCATTAAATAGTAAACGGTTTATAGTTTTATTGATATTCATTCATATAATATAAATAGTGTTATATAAAGAACTTATTAGGGAAAATATAATTAGCATCTTTAAAAATATTGTTCTAATTACGACTGTGTATTGATCCCAATTAAGTATTTAGTTTTTGCTACAAGATCTAAATGTAAAAAACAGAATAATAATATTTTTTTAATTATAATTATAAATTAATTCATATTTTCTCAATTGGGAAAACCATAATAGCGCTAAAATTCTAGGTTATTAGAATTTCTCTCCCTTACCCTCAAAAAAGCTATTTTTCTTTAATACATGGTATATACATGGTGATCCTTTTATTATGAACCACTTAATTAATAGAAAATTAAAAATAATATTGATCAATAATATTTTTTTTAGTTTATTTTTGATAATGTTTTTATCAATTTACCAATCATTAATAATTTTTATGTTCATCCCTTGTACCTTATAATGTTGTCAACATTATCATTTAAATCACAACATACATAATTATCTAGCTCGTTCTTTGAGATAATTACCTACAAAAAATGAAAAGTCGATAACAGTTTGTGAATTAATATTTCAGATAATAATTTAAATGAAATCAATAATTTAATGTAAATACTGGTTGTTAGGTGCGGGTGTTGTTATTTTAGCGCTATACATTTCTCCTTTCAGTAAAGTATGGTAATGTTAATGACTACTAAAATATTGGTCCAAAAGTTGTTATCGACCAGTCATTTTTTAATTAGATAATTATCTAATAAATTAGCTAGTTAATTATGTATGTTGCTATTTGATAAAATAACGCCCTTATAAGGTATAAGGGATGCTTACAAAAAATACTTCATCATTATTTAATTAAGAAAGCATTAATGAATTATTCTATATATATTTGCAAAGGTTGGATATTTTTAGTTGCTTGTCATGGGAAATTAAAATAGAGTGATGTAGGATTAAAGGTAATTTAAATTTTTTAAATTGAATTTTATCTTTAAAGTAGTCACAAGACCTTTTGTTTTTTTAAAACTCCAAATTGTGAAAAAAATTTCTAAGGATATGTAAGTAATTTGAGAAATATCTATCACTAAAATAAATACTTGAAACATGACACATTGTGTGGTTTCATATTAAATAAAAACTATATTCTATGTAAAAAAAATATAGAAAAAACTCTTTATTCACTTTTAATAATAATACCCTAATTTTTTCTTATTCGAAAACACAAATATAATGCTTTCATGCCTTGAACCATTTTGTATAGTGAACATTTTTTAATAATAGTAGTTTAATATTGCTTAATTTGATTGGTGCATTAATTAGAAACTAGTGATAAAATACAGTAATACATACGTTGTATTTCAGTTAACGAATTACCTTTCGCCTTAAATAACTGATTTTTTCAATCGGTTATATTATTTCTATGATTCTAACCGGTCATGATAATTTTGTGACTTTTTTAATCTACCTGGCTTAACACAAATTTTTCTCTATCTTCGATTTATGTTAATTTATATTTAATATGTATATGTGTAGAGAGTTTTGAAGGAAAACGGTGTTCGGGCAAAACATTTAGATATCTATGACTTATTACTCTATATACTATTTTTTTAAAAGAGTTATTGATTTCCAATCGTTAACGTTTCATTTTAGACCTACATTTGCCTACTTTGATATTACTGTCAGAAATATAAAAAAAATTAAATGTTGCATAATTTTTATAAATATTACAAAACGTTTTTTTTGGTTTATTATTTTTGTCTTCAATCTTATCCTATTATCTTTTAGTCATTTTTTAGTGTAAGAACAATTTTTATATTTTATTTTTTATTCAATAAAGAAAAGATCTTAATTACTGCAAAAAAGGAGACCTGAGTGAAATCTAGTGTTTTTGTGCAGTAGTTCGTGTTTAGTAAAAAATATGTTCACTAGATAGCACTCGATTGTTTTATAATTTATAATTTTATTACAACATTTTTGTGTATTATTGTTTTTTAGCTTCGATGCGAAGCGGAGAAGGTATTAATTTTACTATGTGTTTTTTTTTTTTTTTTTTTTTTTTTTTGTCTGTTGC